GGGGACCCCCGCCCACTTATAAAAAAAAAAAAAAAACCCCTCCAAAAAAAAAAAAAAAAAAAAGCTCAGTTGTCTTATATTGTTGGTAAACTCTTTTTAAATAATAATGGCTGGCATTTATTAAGGTATTAATATTTATCAAGGGTAAGGCTTGTAAGCTTTATTCCATTTAAGTTTTCTAACTACTCTGTGAAAGTAAGACTATTTTATCTCTCAATATATTTTTTTTTGAGAGGTTTTTGCTATAGGGTATGTGCGCTCGTCAGACAGACAGAGACAGACAGAGAGATAGAAAGCAAGAAATCACCCCCCAGGGGGGTTGGCCACCCCGCAATCCCTTTTCCATTCTCCTCCCGGGATCTTAGGCACACATGCACACGCGCCCAGTGTGAGTTTAAGCCACCAGGTCCAGGACTCGAACCGCGGTCGACTACATGGGAGTCCAGCGACATAGCCATTACACTAACTGCTGGTCCCTATCAATTTTTTTAACTGAGGAAACTCAGAGTTCTAACTGAGAAACTTAGAGAAAACTGTAACTGAAAACACAAAGGCTTCGAGCACTGCAGGACGTGCCCGTGGGTGGTAGGGCTGCCTCTGTGTCTGGTCTGTTTGGGGCTCTGGCCTGTCGCGTACTTGACAGTTGGCTTGGAGGCTCTGGACTGTGTCATTTCTTTAGTGTGCATACACCATGACCTCATAGACTGGCCTAGTGTTTTATTGTTTGTGAAGTGCTGTGTAAAGACTTCATTTCGGCCTCTCGGTGGCGGTCTGCGCTGCTCAGAGGCTGTGCTTTGTAGGGTGGGCTGTGCACACAGGGGCCCAGGTCTGATTCTCAGTCCATTCCAGGGGCCTGGCATGTGGTCTGTGCCTCTGATCTCGGTGACCCGCTGGCTGAGGCAGGGAGATCGTGAGCTTGAGGTGGCCGGGGCAACATAGCAAGCCCTTTTGTTAAGAAAAGAAAAAAAATGGTCATCTAATTCTCTGATGACTTACAGAGAATCTTACAGGTCACTAGCATTCATATTGTTGATTTGATTTAGTTATATTTGGAAAACATATAAAGGAAAGAATATTGAAAAAGTGAATAATATATAGAATTATTATATGAAGTGATGAAGAGAAAGAGCTTATTAAAATTATACAAAGTATATTAAAAATGAAATGAACTTTTCTTATAAATTATAGAAAATACTATTTTCTTTAAGTCAAACTTGTTAGAAAAGAATGATTAATAATTTAAAAATAATAAAAAGTAGTAGTTAAAAATTCAGATCTGCTGACATGGCTTTCCCTTTTTTTTTTTTTAAGATTATTCATTTATTTCTTTCATGACAGAGAGGAACAGACAAGACAGGTACCCCCAGGAGTCTTCGCATGGCAGGCCACCTCCATCCTCAGCCAGCCCAGATCATGGCTGTGCACGTGTGACCTCATGTGTACAGAGAGGCCTCAGGACGCAAACCTGGGACCTCCCTGTGTGGTCCAGCATCTCAGAGCGCTGTGTTACTGCTGTGTACCTGGCTGACTCTGACATGGTTAGCCTTATACAGCATTTTAGGTCTTGGAAAACAACACTGCAGTTGATGAGAAAGGGTCTTGAATAGACAGGGTCAATTAAATATATAGGTAAATGAAGTGCGTCCTATAAGCTGGGTAGTGAATTTCTCTCCTTCAGTACTGAAAGGTACTCTAGTTTGAATAATGCACAGTGTAAACGCCGGGGAGTGGTGAAATGGTGACTTTCTCCCTGTTGTGATCCGTGTCTTTCTGCTAATTAAACCTCATGTCCGCAAACTAGCAGTGTGAAAATCTGGACTTAAGCAGAAATGTAATCACAGTGGCAAGCCACCAGTCTGTTTTCTTGCAGGGTGAGCTGATTTAAGGTACCAGGAGAATGAAAGTTTGTGGGAAGTCTTTGATGTTTATGTGTCTACTATTATGTTATAGGCTTCCATTTAAAACACCCCATTAAGAAAGTTGGTATAAATTTTGCTTGGTTAGAAGAGACCTTAATTGTGTTTTAATGAGAAGAGATGGATAGGTTCTCTTTTGTAAATTTCTCCTTAGGCAGTGGTAAGTTATGCCTAGGTGTAATTGCTGGCTCCCCTTCCTATGATTTGACAACTATTTAACCCACTCTTTTCAATGGCAGGTGTTCTTAAAAAATGTAAATTCTAGGTAATCTTTTTTGTTGTTGTTGTTGTTAGAAATAGTCATTTTAAAAATCAGAACCTCAATTATATACATTATGTTTTAAAAATCCAGCTATGTTTCCTATGTTTACTTAATGTGTTCTAAGAAAACACTGAGTACTAGTTACATCTGTGATTCTTTCTTCACAGGCCGCTTTGTACCGCCTCAGTGGAGACTGGAATCCCTTACACATTGATTCCAACTTCGCTAACCTAGCAGGTGAGCTGATAATAACACAAGTCAATGAAAAAAATCTAAGCTCAGTTTCCTAAATCATGTATTTAAAGACATGGCTGCTAGGACCAGCAGATGACATAACTGCTATGTTTCTGGACTCCCACATGGCTGACTGCAGTTCAAGTCTTAGTCCTGGAAGCTTGAAACTCATGCCAGGCGCGTGTGCGTGCGTGCCCAAAATCCTGAGGGGAGAATGGAGGAGAAGGGATTACGATGTGGCCATCTCCTCTAGGGGATGGTTTGTTGCTTTCTGTCTATCTCTGTCTCTGTCTCTTTGGTGAATGCATGCACCCTATAGCAAAAATCTCTCTAAAAAAGTTGAAAAAAAAAAAAAGTCCTCTCTTTATTACATTTCTCCAAAAGATACAGAAAGGTAGGAGGTATTCTTCAGAAGACAGTTGACTTGAAATTCAGATCACAGTAGAGGGAAGCTTCTCCTAGTTCAAGGTCTAGGATGGGACCCTGAGGATGGGCATCTGTCAGGGGGACAGGGTCCCTGAGGAGAGAGTAGGGAAGGGAGGGGAGATCTCCACGAATGAGTTCATGGTCACAGTCAAAGCTGAACAAAACAATTCTTTGTGTTTCTATATCTCATATTCTTTTCTTGCTTTTTTTTTTGTCTCTTAGTTTATAATTTCCTCTCAGAAAGTATTATTTATGAAATATCTTCCATGTCTCTTAAAAATAAATGGTATAACTCATGGTGATGGAGTTTAAAGACATTTTAAAAATCTGAACCATTATACTTGGTTTCTTTCTTTTTTAAGGAATTATTTGATTTAATTTTAGTCATTATTATTATTTTAAAAATTTAACCAGAGAGAGAGAGAGAAAGAGAAAGTGAAAAAATAAGCTGCCCAATATGGGACTCGAACTATGGTTGGCCATGTGGGAATCTAACACCTTAATCACCACACCATCTGCCAGGCTCTATACTTGGCTTTAAACATGAAAGATGCCTCTGTCTTACTAAATTCTCTCTGTTTTTAGGTTTTGACAAGCCCATATTACATGGGCTATGCACGTTTGGATTTTCGGCCAGACATGTCTTACAGCATTTTGCCAATAATGACGTGTCCAGATTCAAGGCGATTAAGGTATGGATAGTGTTATATAACTTGAATATTAGTATCTTTTTCTATCTTTAGAGAAGAAAAGGAGTGACATAATTTAAAAGAGGTAATATCAAAGATGGGAAAAAGGCAAAATATACAGGAAACAAGAAATGGAAAATTATTTGTTGATGATAAAATATGTTGATGTGCTTGATTGAGCCAATAACAGTGTATTCTGGATGGAAAAATCTCATTTTGGATGCTGTAATGATGTACAGAGAATGAATGTAAATAAATAAATTAAAAAAGAAAAAAATAAAGAAATTAGACTTCATTAAAAATAACAAGGAAAAAAAAGATGCAGTATACAGCAGCAGTGTATATTTGTTTGATTTCATCACTTGGCGATCAGCACTTTTTTATAGCTGAACACAGTTACATCACATGGCCATCAGGAGGGACGTCATGTACGGTGCCAGTTGTTTGTCCACTTTTTGAAAACGCTTCCCCAGGGGTGATGGCCCACACTGCAGTTCCTCCTTCTCCATCCTCCTTTGGGGATTTGGACTGGCGAACCCAACGTACTTCCCAAGCACCTGGGTCCAGGCCTTGTACTGCGCAGTTGGCCATGCGGGTTCCAGCCACCCCAACCCCCATGCCACCAGCCAGCTCTGCAGCTTCATTTTTAACAGATTAGTTTGATTGTTTTATAAATTAATTAGGTATACACTTATAATTTCCAAATATACTTTAAAAACTCAAGATTTAATTTTTTAAAATTGTTTTGTAATTTGCTATAATTTAATTGAAATGTTAGGTGGCTGTATTTTGTAGCAAGTTAACACCTTCAGCAATAATAGCAATAGCTTCTTTTTTCTAAGAACCTACAGCAGGCTATATACCTTTAATATGTGTAACATACACCTACAGCAGTATACTAGCTACATGTTATTTTTAGTTTTTGTACTTTATAGCTGATTGCAAGTTTTATTTCATTATTATTAATACAGAAAAAAATCTGTGCCCATGTTTTTGCATAAGTTAAAAGATGCATACTTTTTTTCTTAAGAGAGTTCTTCTTGCTATAGGGTGTGTGTGCTTCCCAGACAGACAGAGACAGAGAGACAGAAAACAAGAAATCACCCTCCTGGGATGATGGCCACAATCCCTTCTCCTCCATTCTCCTCATGGGATTTTGGTCATGCACGCACACTTGTGCAGTGTGAGTTTTAAGCTGCTGGGTCCAGGACTCAAACTGCAGTTGACTACATAGGAGTCCAATGACGTAACCACCTGCTGGTCCCAAAAGATGTATACTTAAAAATAAATAAATAAAAGGTTTAAGGCAGTGCAGTGCCACAAAGTTTCATTAGTTTATGCTCCATGCAGCAGTGAAAATGCATTCATTTATACTTTCTCTGGATAAAACTGGTCATTCTCATGCTTTTCATTTTATTATGATTATTTTTTCACCTGGTAATTGATGAATAGAGCACAATAAAGTAATATAGAAACTTATGAAATAAAATACCAAATCACTCTGCCCTGTATACGCACACCGGACCGCACTCCCTAGTTGCACTTATTTCGCTGTTTTACGTTGTTTGTATGGTTACCGACACCCCACTACCTGGTGTGACTGTGGCTGTGTTTCTCGATTTGTCGAGGTAACGCTCACTTCCTGGTTCTGCGCCGTTGGTCTCTGACTACGGTGCTTCCACCGAGGCGTCCTGACTGTGTGTGCAGGGGACCGTGACGTGCATGGCAGGACCCCACGCTTTGAGCTTGATCTTTCTCGGGTTAGCAGCGTGTAGGTCCGTGGGCTACAGGGCGTCAGCAGGAGCCCCAGGATCATGACAAACAATAGTGTCCTTTGTTGTCATTTGAGTTTGGGGATTTGTGTTTTTGTGACCCGTCATGTCTACAAAATGCCCATTTTTGGGTTTAACTTAGGATATTTCCAATTTATGTTGGATGTATGAGGATAGAACCCCTTCTGAGTTGAGCTTCTGTACTTTGAAGATAAATGAACTTGCTTATACTAGCTATATTCTTTCTCTATTATATTGTATTATTTTTAGGTCTTTTATGAATTGAATTAAGCCTCTATTTTCTTTCTTTTATGCTCTCCCACTGCCTTTCCAATTGTTTCTTCTCCCCACCATGGAAGAGTTTCATGTTAAAACATTTTTAACCCTAAGGATTTATTTTAAAGGCTCGTTTTGCAAAACCAGTATATCCGGGACAGACTCTACAAACTGAGATGTGGAAGGAAGGAAACAGAATTCATTTCCAAACCAAGGTATGGATAATCCAGAGTTAGAGGGACTTCATGTTGTTACCCCTCCTAAGCACACCCTATGGTTCATTTCCTCTTGGCTTTTTTTTTGGTTAGTACTGCGGATATAAGACAAAACCAGGAAGGCTTTTTATTCTTTAACCATTGGTGACTTTTCATTGACAATATCTTATGCACCTCTTTAGTTCTCTTGCATTTGTAGCTGAATTGGTGTTTTCACATGTAGCAGTGGCCCAGCTGTTCTGTTCTGAGAATCCAACCAACCATGGTTTTTTGTTTGTTTGTTTTTCAAACAGAGATTTTTGTTATAGGGTGCATGCGCTCATTGGAGAGGCAGAGACAGAGTCAGAGAGGCAGAGAGAGACAGAGAGACAGAAAGCAAGAAACCACCGCCGGGGGAGATGGCGATGCCACAATCCCTTCTCTATTCTCCTCTTGGATTTTGGGCACGCACGCACACGTGCCCAGTGTGAGTTTTAAGCTGCTGGGTCCAGGACTTGAACTGTGGTTAACTGTGGGAGTCCAGTGATGTAACCATTACACTGTCTGCTGGCCCCCAACCAACCGTGTGTTTAGCTCAGCCAGTCATCCAAGTAGTTGTCAAATATAATCTTCAAAAAAATTCAAGGCATGACTTAAATGTACAATGAAAACACAGCAAAACTTCATTGAACTCATTAATTGAGGATCTTGCCACGTGATAAAACTAGTTCAAAGGAGACTTCGAGCAACAGTGTATGTAGTCCAGCAGAAAAGACACTCTAAAACAATTTTGCTGAGTGAGAGACAAAACTAGTTAATGTCCTACAGAACAATAGGATCATATCCTTTGGGGTCCTCTTTTCTTTGAACAGAAATTACAGATCCACAAATTAACATCCTACATCAGAGTCCAAGACTAATTAATAGTCAGTGCAAGCTAAATAAAAGTCTATCTCCCTGCAGAGTAAGTGATTTTGGGGCGAGGCTGTGGGCAATGCTCCATTTTATTGTTCAGTATTCACAGGGTATGTGATCACCATTTTATTTGCAAGTGATTTTAAGGATAATTTTTGTAGCAAGTCAACAACTCCTACGATAATAGTAGCAGCTTACTTTTTGAGAACCTGTAAGCAGGCTCTATTATCTTTAATACGTTTAGCACCTCTGGGTTTAAATTTAAGAGAAAGTGCGTTCCTAAGGAGACCTCGGTGCCCTCAATAACTTGCTTCTGGTTATCCAGCAAGTGGTCGAGCCAGAGACGCAGGTCAGCCTGCTCCACAGCGTGGGCCCAGGGCTCTCGCCATTCACTGGGTCATGCTTTCTTCTAAGAACAGAGAACTTGGCTGAATTCTTCCGTGCTTCCCTGCACCAGCCCCTCCCGGCTGTGCCGTGTCACTTCCCTGCCTGATCTGTGCACACTGTTCACTGTGCTGGACGTCGTCCTGTCCTTCCGGCTTTAGGCAAGCTCTGCCTTGACTTCAGGGACGTCTCTCGTTGCTCCCTCGTTCCCACCCGTATACGCACACGCCCACTTTCTTTGAAAGCCTCTTGCAGTTAATGTTTGTGCCAGCTGTTCTGGAGCACTCTTACTTCCTAGTTGTCTTGTATTCATTTTATTTTCCAAATAAGATTTTGAACTCTAAAAGTGTCAGGGATCACAGCTGTGTGAGGGGACTTCAGAAAGTTTATGGAAAAGCAGAATTAAGGTCTGAATTTATTTTGATGCTAAAATTTTTTTTTTGTAATCCGTGCATAGTTTTTGCATAGTACACATTTTCTATGAACTTTTTGAAAACTTCTTGTATTACAGATTTTTTAAAAACATTTTTTGCCAGAGGATGCATGGTTTCACCATGGAGAGAGGGGAGGAGGGAGGGAGGGAGGACTTGGGACAGCGTGCTCCACGGGACACAGTCGTGCCACAGCCCTGCTCCATCCCTTCCTCCTGTTGGGATCTGGGACAGGCACAGCTACGTGCCTGCCCTCTCCAGAGAGACAGAGAGACAGAAAGCAAGAAACCACCGCCGGGGGAGATGGCGATGCCACAATCCCTTCTCTATTCTCCTCTTGGATTTTGGGCACGCACGCACACGTGCCCAGTGTGAGTTTTAAGCTGCTGGGTCCAGGACTTGAACTGTGGTTAACTGTGGGAGTCCAGTGATGTAACCATTACACTGTCTGCTGGCCCCCAACCAACCGTGTGTTTAGCTCAGCCAGTCATCCAAGTAGTTGTCAAATATAATCTTCAAAAAAATTCAAGGCATGACTTAAATGTACAATGAAAACACAGCAAAACTTCATTGAACTCATTAATTGAGGATCTTGCCACGTGATAAAACTAGTTCAAAGGAGACTTCGAGCAACAGTGTATGTAGTCCAGCAGAAAAGACACTCTAAAACAATTTTGCTGAGTGAGAGACAAAACTAGTTAATGTCCTACAGAACAATAGGATCATATCCTTTGGGGTCCTCTTTTCTTTGAACAGAAATTACAGATCCACAAATTAACATCCTACATCAGAGTCCAAGACTAATTAATAGTCAGTGCAAGCTAAATAAAAGTCTATCTCCCTGCAGAGTAAGTGATTTTGGGGCGAGGCTGTGGGCAATGCTCCATTTTATTGTTCAGTATTCACAGGGTATGTGATCACCATTTTATTTGCAAGTGATTTTAAGGATAATTTTTGTAGCAAGTCAACAACTCCTACGATAATAGTAGCAGCTTACTTTTTGAGAACCTGTAAGCAGGCTCTATTATCTTTAATACGTTTAGCACCTCTGGGTTTAAATTTAAGAGAAAGTGCGTTCCTAAGGAGACCTCGGTGCCCTCAATAACTTGCTTCTGGTTATCCAGCAAGTGGTCGAGCCAGAGACGCAGGTCAGCCTGCTCCACAGCGTGGGCCCAGGGCTCTCGCCATTCACTGGGTCATGCTTTCTTCTAAGAACAGAGAACTTGGCTGAATTCTTCCGTGCTTCCCTGCACCAGCCCCTCCCGGCTGTGCCGTGTCACTTCCCTGCCTGATCTGTGCACACTGTTCACTGTGCTGGACGTCGTCCTGTCCTTCCGGCTTTAGGCAAGCTCTGCCTTGACTTCAGGGACGTCTCTCGTTGCTCCCTCGTTCCCACCGCGTATACGCACACGCCCACTTTCTTTGAAAGCCTCTTGCAGTTAATGTTTGTGCCAGCTGTTCTGGAGCACTCTTACTTCCTAGTTGTCTTGTATTCATTTTATTTTCCAAATAAGATTTTGAACTCTAAAAGTGTCAGGGATCACAGCTGTGTGAGGGGACTTCAGAAAGTTTATGGAAAAGCAGAATTAAGGTCTGAATTTATTTTGATGCTAAAATTTTTTTTTTGTAATCCGTGCATAGTTTTTGCATAGTACACATTTTCTATGAACTTTTTGAAAACTTCTTGTATTACAGATTTTTTAAAAACATTTTTTGCCAGAGGATGCATGGTTTCACCATGGAGAGAGGGGAGGAGGGAGGGAGGGAGGACTTGGGACAGCGTGCTCCACGGGACACAGTCGTGCCACAGCCCTGCTCCATCCCTTCCTCCTGTTGGGATCTGGGACAGGCACAGCTACGTGCCTGCCCTCTCCCTCAAGCCCCCTGGCCCAGGACTCGAACCACATGGTCAACCATGAGGGATCAGCAACCAGCCACCTAATCACCAGACCACAGGCTGGCCCATGTCATAGATTTAATTTTTCCCCAATTCTAGTAATGAATAATACAGAAACAATTTCTGTGTATACAAACTTAAGCAGGTGAACCGTGACCGAATATCTCAATATAATACATTCTTGCAGTTTGAATAAATTCTTTTTTAAAAAGAATTGTTTTACTTTATTTGTTTATTTAAATTTGATCTGAGAGGGACAGAGGGAGAGCGAGAGCGAGTGAGAGTCAGTGAGTTGGGGGGAGGGAGTTAGAAAGCAAGCCACCAGGTCGGGGACCTGAACTGAAGTTGGCCATGTGGGAGTCTCGTGTCCTTAACTACCACGCCACCTGCCGGCCCCACAATTTTGATAAATTCTAAGCATGTCTTCTTTTCAGTGTTTTTGCTGTATTTTCCCTCAGTGTTTAGAGGTACTCTTTCTGTATTAGTTATATACAGGACTCCCTCCTCCTTCCTTCTTCCTTCCTGTTATATTTTAATAAACATTTCAAACCAATGTGTTAAAATTGACTTAGTTACAAGAAAGCAATTTTGTTTATTAATTGTTTCTTTCTATGCTTTTCACAGTTTATAATTTTTAGTAAAATGAATAAATTACTGAAAGATCTTTTTCTCTTCTGAAGTGTGATTGAAAGCAGTCAAGGGAGAATGACCATCCTGATTCTTACAAAGCAGTTTTAATAAATGCCTCTTTGTTTTTTTGAAATGTATCCTATACTCCTGTAACAGTACCATAATTTTTATAAAAGAATCGATAGCCGTTGGGATAATTTGAGATGAAGGATGAGGAATTAGAATCAGAGTCCTCTAATGACTATTTTGATAAAAGGCTGTTTAGGTATTTCGTCTAGCCTATGTGTGCTCCCTACTTGAAGTGAGGACTGGAATCATTATTTATTCATTTACTTTTTAAGGTTTGTGCCATGGGTACGTGGCGTTCGCTGAAGAGAGACAGATTCTCTCTTCAGTGAGAAGAAAAGTAAGAAATCACCCCACAGGGGATGGCTATGCCATAGTCCTTTCTCTTCTTGAGATTGTGGGCGTGTGCACATGTACGCACACATGCCCTGCATGATTCTCAGGCGTCCAGGTCCAGGACTTGAACTTGGTCAGCCATGTGGGAGTCCAGCCTCTCGGCCACCACGCCACCTGCTGGCCCCTGGAAGTATTACTTTGAAAGCACTATCCTTGTCTGCTCTCTGCCTGTGTTACTCTGTGTGAACAGAACAGATGCTCCTGGGGTGCCACCACCTCATGTGGGTTTTGTGCTGTGTTTCTTTCTCACGGTTATGGGAATCCAGCACTGCTCACTCTGGCTCTCCATTAGAAACACTTATATTTCGGAAAAGACAAAACCAAAACCCTCCAAAAGCCAGATGCCAATGTCGATGGTCCATCCCAGACCATCTACGCTGGAGCTGCGGGTGATGGTACCCAGTCCTGGGGATGCCTCGAAGGCTCTGCTGATTCTGCAGCCAGGGCGAGTGACAGTCGTGTGACCCAGAACGCCTTCCTGACTATTCATCTGGACGTTTACTGCACCACCTTATGTTTTATTAAGACTTAGTTTTCATATGAAACAAAACTATAAATTCCTTCTAAATTATTTTACAGTGTCTCACAGTGAAATTGTGTTTATGTTGGAGTTATCAGAGTGAACTGTTTTTTCCTTTTCCACCCTCTACCTCCGTAAGGTCCAGGGCACTGGGGACATTGTCATTGCAAACGCGTACGTGGACCTCGTGCCGACAGCGGCTGTCCCCGCGAAGACGCCCTCTGAGGTAGGCTGTAAGTGGGGCCCAGGCCAACTCCTTACTTACGGATTTGGCACAAGAAGGTTTAGGCTCCTTGAGAAAATCAGTAACTGTGATTGAGAAAATCAGTAACTATGAAAAGGTTCTTATTTTTGAAGTGAAAGATATCATTAAAAACTGCTTGGAATAAATGGAATACTTTGGTAATGTATGATATTTTACACTTTCTTGCTAGATACTGGGTTACCTTTCAAGAGAAAATAATTAACTTTCTAGTTTTAGAGTAAATAAATCAGTTGTTTAATGAGAAAGCTTAAGCAAATAGTAATTTGAAGAAAAATAGGTTAAAAATGTAAGTATCTTGTACCTTTTTCTTGACTTAAAGCTTTATATATCCATATAGAAACAATAGTGTATACTCTTTCTTTGAACAGGTTATAGCGTGCATTCTCTATTAGTATGCTGAGACTTTCGATAAAAACATTTTACTCTGTGTCCAAAATACTACTTGTTAATATTTTTTAAATAAGTAAAAAGGTTTTTATACGCTTGATCTTTAATTGTCTGTCCTACACCATATTATCATATAACTGACTGAAAATTAAAATATCTTTGTTTTTTGGAAGAAAATTAAAATATCTTATGAATAATCTAAGGTCAGAATATTTTGAAGTTTATGAACTGGGAAAAAATTAAACTTTGTCTAATTTAATCTCATTTTACACATTAAAAAAAAAAAGGCCTTGGAAGTTGGTCTGCTGTCTTCCTGAAGTTGGGATCCATGTTGTCCACTTCCTGGCTAACTTTTAAAATATTATTTCTGAGTTCTGATAAAAGTAAAATCCTCTTAAGAAGAGGGCTGAGGTTCTGGATGACATAAATTAATATAAGGAAAGTGTAAAAAAAAAAAAAGTCTAGCATGGGAAATAAACTGTTGGTTCGTCGGAAAGTTCATGATGAATTTTGCACAGAAAAATATGCAGCATTACTTTTCCAATGACCCAATAGTTTAACTGCCTTATTTATTTATGAAGATCTTTTAAAAACTCACTTTTTTTTTTTGAGAGGTTTTTGCTATAGGGCGCGTGCGCTCGCCAGACAGACAGAGAGAGATGGAGAGAAAGAAAGCGAGAAATCACCCCCCAGGGGGGATGGTCACGCCGCAATCCCTTCTCCTCCATTCTCCTCTCGGGATCTTGGGCATGCACACACACGCGCCTGGCGTGAGTTTTAAGCCACCGGGTCCGGGACGCAAACCGCTGTCGACTACATGGGAATCCAGCGACATAGCCATTACGCTAACTGCTGGTCCCTAAAAACTCACTTTTATCACACATATATTTTGTAATCACTTTTCCTTTTTCAGTCATTTTTGTAGGACTTTTAAAGTATTGCCTTCCCTGTGCCCTAGGTCGGGGAGCTTCAGAGCACCCTGGTGTTCGAGGAGATAGGTCGCCGCCTGAAGGACGTTGGGCCTGAGGTGGTGAAGAAGGTCAATGCCGTGTTCGAGTGGCACATCACCAGAGGGGGCAGCCTCGCCGCCAAGTGGAGTAAGTCACCCTTGATGTCCCGGCACGCAGGGTAGCGCTCAGCACGTAGCACTGAAGTGCCCTTATCATAACCAGAGGCCATGTCTTTGAAGGAGGTACATCTCACCTACGTAAATTATTTTGTGAGCACAAACACATTTCTGGGTACCCAGAGCATTTTTATTTGAGATGAAGGGAATCAACTAAAATGAAAATATCTGTTTCAAGGATTTCATTGTGATGCCTGAAATTGGTTCTTTTGCACACGGTCATTTTAACTGTATGCTTTTTCAACTAGTGAAACAGAAAGCAAGTTCCTCTGGCCAGATGAAATCTTCTTAAGTATTTGTATTTGACAATTTTAAAATCGTTTTCTCCATCTCAAGTTGGTAATGTGGGTTATCATTGTAATTTAGAGTATAAAGTCATAATTATTTCCTTGACGTATGTACCCTGGGGAGTTACCGGAGTGTCACGCTAGCAAGCTGACCAGGAGCGCGGTGTAAACAGCCCATTGCAGAAGGGGAGCAGACACGTTTCCTTTCCCTCAGAGGGAGCTTGAAGAGGAGCCTTGTACCTTTTTACTATTAAGAAAAATTAGAGTATAAAAATAATAAAGAAAAAAATTCTGCTAGATCTTTATATCTCCTTTGTAACTCACGTTCTTTTATTTTGGAGAGATTTTTGCTCTAGGGCGCGTGCGCTCGCCAGACACAGAGAGAGAGACATAGAGACAGAAAGCGAGAAATCACCCCCCAGGAGGAATGGCCACGCCACAATCCCTTCTCCTCCATTCTCCTCTCGGGATCTTGGGCACGCACGCACACGCGCCCGGCGTGTAACTCACGTTAATTATGGCACAGACTTGTAATTATACAGTATTCTGAACTTGAACTGAAACCCCCACCCCCACCCCCCTTTTTTTTAAGCTATAGGGCATGTGTGCTCATCAGAGAGACAGAAGGTGAGAGATCACTTCCCAGAGGGGATGGCCGTGCCATAATCCCTTCTCCTCTAGTCTCTCAGAATTTTAGGCACACACACAGACACGCCCAGCCTGAGTATTTTTTTGTTTGTTTGTTTTGGAGAGGTTTTTGCTATAGGGTGCATGCGCTCGCCAGACAGACAGAGAGAGACAGAGAGACAGAAAGCGAGAAATCACCCCCCCAGGAGAGATGGCCACACCGCAATCCCTTCTCCTCCATTCTCCTCTCGGGATCTTGGGCATGCACGCATATGCGCCTGGCGTGAGTTTAAGCCACCGGGTCCGGGACTCAAACTGCGGTCGACTCCGTGGGAGTCCACGACATAGCCATTACGCTAACTGCTGGTCCCAGCCTGAGTTTTAAGCTGCCAAGTCCAGGACTCGAACTGCAGTTGACTATGTGGGAGTCCAGCGATGTAACCATTACACCACCTGCTGGTCCTGAACTGAAACCCTTCTACTTGGGATTGCCTTGTAGTGTGTCACATTCTACTCCTGCCCAGCCCCTGGCTGCATTTTAACTGATGCTGTGTAGCGTGTTCACTTCTTCCTCTTCCTCGGGTCCTCGTCAAGGCTGCCAGTCTCGTTTCTCTGAAAGGACTCACCTTCCCTTTGGATGTCTGCTTGCGTGGCTCTGTCTGTGACTTGATTTTGACTCAGCTGTGTAACTGTCTTCAGTCCTGATTCTTGCTTTCCCCCAGTTTTGTGCCACTGAGCTAAATTGCAGCGCTGGCTGCAGTGGGATTACCTGTCTTTGGCTTCTGGTGTTTCAGGAGCTGATTCTGTTAGCATCGCTGTTTTGCATCTCTGTGCTTAACAACATGAAATAGGTGATAGAATGCATTGGCTGAGGGCATACCTAACTTTTTTCTTTCTTTTTTGTGTTTTTAAACAAGCAGTTTAAAATGTTTTACTAAACACTTCGTTACCAAATATTGGATATGTTTAAATCGCTGTTGTCCATGCCTTGTTCTCATCAGGGCAGACCAGAACTTGGATGCAGAGAATGGGCTGAGCACCGCAGGTCACTCTGACTGGACTCACGTCACTGAGCCACTCGGATGACTGCCCCTGAGCACGTCCAGGAACTGAGGGCTGGGCACGGTGGCCTGGAAGGCATGTCCCAAGCTTGACCTGGGACTTAACCCCAAGAAAGGGCCGCACTTTAATTTGTCTATGTGCAGTTTCTAGTATGATCTGTAACATGTACTAGATTGACTCTGAACATGGTAAATAAATGTTGAAGCCATGTAGCTGGCCAGATGGTGGCGCAGAGGTAAAACTCAACACTCTGCAAGGCCAGCCCGCACGGAAAGGCCCTGAGTTCATGTCCAGAGACCCCCCTGAGTTCCAGGATGTGTGTGCACGTGACCGAGGGCGGCCGAGACGGGGCTGTGAGTGTCATCCAGACCCAGCCGGTGTCCCTCTGCCTCTGTCGTGCTCATGGAAGAAATAAACAAACTAGAAAACCATGCAGAAAGCATAATTCTAGGATGGAATAGGATGGCTGCCTTTTCAAGAAAAGTACTGAATTTGATGCCTTACCTTGTATTAAAGTAATAATTTTATTGAATGGGTAGTCAATATTTTTGTCTGTTCAGTCTGAGTAATATATGTGTGGACAATGTGATGCCACCGAAACTTTTCCTAAGTAACTGGCGAGTTTATAGTACTTATAACTATTCATTTCAAAACACAGCCAAAAGCTGTTCTAGGAACCTTTGGATCTAAGCAACAGTAAAAGTTCAAAGTAAAAGAAAGATGACAGGAAGGCATAAAGGAGATAAAGAATCAGAGGTTTTAGATGGCCTATTGAGTAGTATGCTGCAGAAAATTAGAAGATACTCTTATCTGAACCTCCAGAAATCAAAACGTCCTAAAAAATGGGATATTTTTTTTCCTCATAACTCACCTGACCTGAACTTTCCTGATGCTGTTCATTGTCTCTGCTTAACTCACCCAGTGCGAGTTTATCCAGCGTAGAGATGCTGTATTTGTTTATAGAGTGTTGTACCCTTGGGGATCTTTTTTCACTTATAACATATGTTTTTCTGTCTTACTTATCTTCTAAAATCTCAAAAATTCTGAATTCTGAAACACGTCCCCCCTGAAGCAGTTTGGCTAAGGTGTAGTGACCTTGCCCATGTGTATAGAGAGGGCCTTGCCCAGTTGTCATAGGGTCCAAGTGGCAAGAGACATGGGAAGGGAGCTCCCGGCTTTGAGAGGATGGGAGAATTGGTTCATTCAACAAACACTGGAGTATTTTAATTATGTGTCAAGTTCTCAAAGGTTAGGGATGACAAACAGGCCAAGACAGGCTGTGTGTTCCCTGTGAGAGGCAGCGTGTCAGCTGAAATAACTGTGGGTAAGGAAAGGCCGTTGGATGCAGAGTGAAGAGGGGAGTGGGAACAGTGGAGAAGCAGCCTGTGTGAGCTGTCGCTGTTGCTAAGAGAAGACTTAGCGACTGTTGCTAAGATGCACTTTGCAGTAGTCAGGAAGAAATGGGAGCCGACTGAGGTCTGGGAGTGAAGACGAGTGATGCTGGCAGAACCTGGCCTAGGCCTTGGCCAATTGCTACGTCTGAAAAGCAAGAGGAGTGAGGAGTCAGAGCAGAGGCCGAGGTCTTGAGCCTGTAAGTTCCAGGATGCTGACTCTGTAGGGGCGAAGGAGATCTCCCTCCACTTGCAAGCTTCTGCTGAAGATCACTGATGCTAGGGCCAGCAGGTGGCATGGTGGTTAGGATGGCTGGATCCCACATGGCTGACTGCAGTTTGAATCCCGGACCTGGTGGCTTGAAAAACGTGCTGGTTGCATGTGTGTGCATTCCCAAGATCTCGGAAGGATGAGACCTGGCGGAAAAGGAATTGTGGTGTGACCATCTCCATAAGGGGTGCTTTCTCACTTCCTCGCTCTGTCTCTGATGAGGGGTGGATGGGCTCAAGGCTCCGGAAATGGTTGGCAAATGATTCTCTCTGGAAGCCGCAGGAGACCAGCAGGTACCGAAAGGCGAGGACGGGAGCCGGATGCACAGGAACGCGGGGTCTTACACAGCGTCTCGAGTGACTTCCGTGGAGGAGGCGTCCTGGTGTGGGATGCTTACTCTTTCTTCTCCCGGGTTGTTTGATGTGGTTCCCAGAGAGGAGGTTTAAGATTACAGTTCTGCTGGGAAGGAGCGATTGGTCAGGTTAAGTCAATCCCTCAGAGCAGTCCTTCTTGCACTTGGGGTGGAGGAGGAGTGACAGGGTCATACAGACCCTGCTTCTGAGGTGACCTGGTTCTCAGCAGGTCACAGTGCTGGTCTCTGGAGTCTTGGTTTCCAAGCCCAGTGGCTCCATGACTAGAAGTGCGAAGTGGGAGGGAGGGAGAGCCGCGACGTCAGCCCTGCAGCCCACCTAGTCTGGGCTGGAGTGTGGGGGCCAGGGCCAGAATTTGGGGGAGGCTCACAGCTGGAACAGAGAGTTGGAATGGAAAACATCAGCTTTGCCATGTTGCTATACGACATCCAGGAAGAAAATATTGGGTTGTTGGAAAAGTCGTCGCATATATTTTTTTTAAAGAGAGATTTTTGCTACAGGGTGCATGCACTCACCAGAGAGACAGGAAGTGAGAAAGCACCTCCTGCCCAAGGGGAGAGGGCTACACCACAGTCCCTTCTCCACTCTCTTCTCGGGATTCTGGGTGCACACGCACAGGTGCCCGGCGTGAGTTTCAAGTTGCCGGGTCTGGGGCTCAACTCGCGGTCAACTACGTGGGAGTCCAGCAACATCGCCATCATGCCATCTGCCAGGCCCAGGGACGTCTTTTTCTATGTACAAGTGCATCATGACTTTTCAAATAAACCAGTCGAAATAAAATTCTGGAGAGTTATCTGTTGTTCCTGTGCACGTCATAGAACAATAATTTAGTATTTGTCGTTTTTTATTTTTTTAGAGGTTTTTGCTATAGGGCGTGTGCTTTCACCAGAAAGACAGAGAGACAGAAAGCGAGAAATCACCCACCCAGGGGGGATGGCCATGCCGCAATCCCTTCTCCTCCC